GGGAAAAGGAAGCTACTTTTCTCAAAGGAAAGAAAAGATTTGATTGCTGCTTCCTGTAAGCTGACAAACTGGAGCTGGAATCTGTTGGAGAAAAGGGTTTCCCATTGGAGTTGTAGGCTAGGGACAAACCTAGGGCCATTGATGAAGAGCTTTGAAGGCATGTGGTGCAGATATATAGTTCGGTGGCTAGCCACTAGAATTATTTTTGGGCTATAAAATGCATATTGAAATTTTGGGCTACCGGATGATATTTGTTTTGCCCGATGGACTATAAATGAAGTTCTCTCTAAAAAATTTCCTTATTTGTGCTAGACAAGCTTACAGTTTTGGCCACTCTTTGCTAGTTTTGTTTATTTCTCAACCAAGTGGAGGTCATGATCTTTAACTAAATCGATAGAACTTTTATATAGACTAGACAAGCTTGCATATGGACAAGCTTGCATATGGAAACTTTCATCCTTTGTTAACACTAGCTTTTAGGATCGTTTTAATCGTTAATACTTAGTGACCTTCCGACCATTTTTAAATTGAATGTTAGTTTGAGAGAATGATGATGTTAATATCACTCTTAGAGTAAGTATCCCCTTAAGGTTTTAACGTTTTCAATTTAAACAAAATTATTCCTTATAATTTTGGACTATAAATTACTTTATCAAAAAAATGTGGACTATAAATTGGGCTACACAATTGTCGATCTAGACGCTTACTAAACTGTGTATTAAAAAATATGATGATTAAACTTAAACCTTAAATGTCGTGTTTAACTAAAAATTAAATAAAGAAGGTTTGAATTAAATGAAATGCCTTAATAAAGAGGAAGAGAATACTACTTTTCAATTATTTAGCAGTCGCTTTTGATATACGACCACATCAAACATTTACAATATATTTATTATTCGTAGCTATATTCGAATTTTATAGCAAATCCATGACATAAGAGATTATTTGTTAGTTTGAAAGAATGATGATGTTAATATCACTCTTAGAGTAAATAACCCCTTAACGCCTTAACGTTTTCAATTTAAATGAAAATATTCCCTATAATTTTGGGCTATTATTGATGTGGACTATAAATTACTATATCAAAAAAAATGTGGACTATAAATTAGGCTACCCAATTGTCGATCTAGACATTTACTGAACTGAGTATTAAATATGATGATTAAACTTGTTGGGTTTGTTACTAATAAATAATAACAAAAGAGGTGTGAATGGAAAATGGTGGGAAAAGAATGGAGGGAAGTGAAATTTTGAATGAGTTCATTTCACTTATGCACTTTGTCCCTCGTTGGTAGAAGGAAATATTATCTTTGTGTATATAAAGAGAAGCTCATCTTTTAGCTTTTAAAGAGCTAAGAAGAAGGCAAGCATCGCGCCGTCGTCGTCGCTCGCTCGGATTCAGATTCGGATTTGTCAAAGATTGATTGAATAATCTTTTTGGACAAAATTCTTTTCAAATATTTAATTAATTAATTAAATTAATTAAAGAAAATTCAATCCGCAATAACCCGCGACCCGGTCCGGTCCGGCCCGTTTTCTTTCCCGGATTATTTTAAATCCGTTTTATATTTTCCGCAATATTTTGAACAGCCATGGCTGTTCTGAAACAGTGTCACACCTGTTCCAACAGCTATGGCTGTTCTGAAAGGTTGCAAACCTCTTCAGAAACAGCACCAAGTTGGCTATAAATATACCTTCAAATCCCAGAATATTTACTTACTAAATTTTCTGAATCTTCTTCTTCTTCTGCACAAAATATTCCAGCGTGTTTTACGACCATCGAGTGGTTCGCCGATCACCAGAGTTTTAGGTACCGATACACTGGTGAGTTAAATCGTTCTATCCTGGGAGGATATATTCCAGAACCTCGGGTACTTGAGGGAAATAATTTCCTTAAGGATACACTGTGTATTCAGTGGGCTCGATTTGTTCCTACAACGTTTTCAGAATTTATTTTGAAGAAGTTTACTGTTTTTCGGAATTTAATTTCTATTAACTTTCTGTTTTTGTTTTCAGAAAGATTATTATTTAATTTATTTTCAGCAATACAGATATATAACAATCTTAAGAAAATTATATTTATTATATTTTGTATTCTGTCTGAATTTTACTATTCTGATTTGAAGATATAAAAACTTCATCAGGATATTGAAATTCAGAAAACGAATTAAAGAACATAAAAACTTCATCGTTATTCTGTAAAAACAGTATATAAAAACCTTAGTTCTTTTTATTACGTACTGTTTATTGATTACAGTATTATTTACTGTTTTGGTTTTGCCATTAATTGATTTCTTCTGTTGTTGACAGTAAGAAATGGCAAATGAAAATGGAAATCCTTCTGCGACTGTTGGTGCAACGACGATAGCCTCGTCAAGCCGCACTCTTGTTCCTCCGGCTGAGAAACCGGAGAAATTTTCCGGAACTAACTTTAAAGGATGGCAGTAAAGGGTGTTCTTCTGGCTTACCACACTTGGTATGCAGAAATTCACTAGTGAAGAGCCTCCAGTGCCTGCTGCGGACATGCCAGATAATGAAAAGTTCATGGTTGTTGAGGCGTGGAAGCAGGCAGATTTTCTTTGCAAAGGCTATATATTAAGTGCTTTAGAAGATGACTTTTACAATGTGTACAGTGCAATGAATACTTCGAAAGAATTATGGGACGCACTTGAGAAGAAGTACAAGACAGAAGATGCATGCTTGAAGAAGTTCGTGGTTGCCAAGTTTCTAGACTATAAAATGATAGACAGCAAAACTGTGGGAACCCAAGTTCAGGAGCTTCAACTTATTTTTCATGAACTTATTGCTGAAGGTATGGTCGTGAATGAATCATTTCAAGTAGCTGCTATGATTGAAAAATTGCCTCCTTCGTGGAGAGATTTCAAGAACTATCTGAAGCACAAACGCAAAGAAATGAAGTTGAAAGATCTTGTGATACGTCTAAAGATTGAGGAAGACAACAAAACAGCTGAGAAGAAGTCTCGTGGAAATTCAACGATCATGGGAGCTAATATCGTTGAAGAGAATGCTCCAAAAGGTAAGAAGAGGAAGAGGTCTTCTGGACAAACTAAGGAGCAGAACAAAAAGAAATTCAAGGGCGGCTGCTACAATTGTGGAAAAATCGGTCACAAAAGCCCTGATTGTCGTCTCCCGAAAAAGGATAAGAAGAAGGGACAAGCCAACATAGTGGAGAAGAATAATGACATTGATGATCTTTGCGCAATGCTTTCGGAATGCAACTTAGTTGAAAATCCGAAGGAGTGGTGGATTGACTCTGGAGCCACTCGACATGTTTGTCTGTCAAAGAAGCATTTGCGACTTACTCTACTGCTGGTCCGGAAGAAGAAATTTCCATGGGAAATAATGCAACAGCCAAGATTGAAGGTTATGGGAAGATATTCCTGAAGATGACTTCCGGCAAGGTGTTAACGCTCAACAACGTTCTTCATGTTCCTACTATTAGGAAGAATTTAGTTTCTACTTCTTTACTTGTAAAGAATGGATTCAAATGTGTATTTATTTCTGATAAAGTTGTTGTAAGCAAGAACGAAATGTATGTTGGAAAAGGCTACCTCACGGAGGGCCTTTTCAAACTCAATGTAATGGTTGTTGACAGTATGAATAAAATTTCAGATTCTTCTTATTTATTGGAGTCAAATGATTTATGGCATATTCGTTTAGGACATGTCAATTATAAAACCTTGCAGAAATTAATTAATTTAGAAGTATTGCCTAAATTCGAGTGTAATAAATCGAAATGTCAAATATGTGTTGAATCTAAGTTTGTAAAACATCCTTATAAGTCTGTTGAAAGGAATTCAAATCCTTTAGACTTAATTCATACTGACATTTGCGATATGAAGTCGACACCATCTCGAGGTGGGAAAAAAGTATTTTATTACTTTTATTGACGATTGCACTAGATATTGTTATGTTTATTTGCTTAATAGTAAGGATGAAGCAATTGAAGCATTTAAGCAATACAAGAATGAAGTAGAAAATCAATTGAATAAAAGGATCAAAATGATTAGAAGTGATCGAGGTGGAGAATATGAATCACCGTTTGCAGAATATGTTCGGAATATGGAATTNAGAAAAGGAAAAAAGAAAAAAATAAGAAGAAAAACGAGAAAAAAGAAAAGGAGAAAAGAAAAAAAGAAAGAAAAGAAGCATAGAAATAAAAAAGAATTGGAGAATAAAGAAAAAATTCCCCACAAAAACTACTACGCGTAGAAAATATAATTAGTTTATGGGTAGAAAAATAAATGGGTAGACAAGAGTAAATAGTTTTATTTTTGTGGGTAACTGTGTCAAAACCCCAATTTAGTTTTACTATTGTTTTGTTATTTTACTTTTTCGTCAAGCACTTTAATAATTAGATTTCTATATTATATATATTACATATATTTATATAACCATGTATAAGAACAATTTATATATATACATACATATATGGTTTACAAGAAATTGCTTAAACAAAAAAATTTTTTAAAAAAATGCCCAAAAATAAAAAAGCCCGTTAGACCCGCTAAGCCCACGAGCCCGGCCCATTTAGCCCAGGACCATATGGGCTTAGGCCCGTCATGGGCTGATTCCACCCGTTGAGCCCACGAAGCCCGGACCGCTAAGCCCAGGCCATTTAACCCGGCCCGTTTAGCCCATTTAGGCCCGGGCCCGGGTCCACCCGTTGAGCGCACGAAGCCCGGACCGCTAAGCCCAGGCCATTTAACCCGGCCCGTTTAGCCCATTTAGGCCCGGGCCGAGGCCCGGACCATCATACAGCATTACCCGTACACTTCCCCCAACAATTTGGGCTAAATTACGTGACAGCCTGCTGAAAATTGGGCTATTAGAATGGGCTTAATATGGGCTTCAGTGTTGGACCAGAAAAGACTACTGGGCCTACTCTGTACACAACCTAATAACAGGCCCATCACACGAAGAACAGTCATTATGAGCTTAAGATAGACACACAGAGAAAACACTTAACAAAATCAAGATTATGGCATGCATATGTTTCGCCAAAGTCTCATTCAAATTAACACTACAAATAGTACATCTCAACAACCTCAAGTAGCTACAAAACATGCCCAATTCTTGAATCTCATTCCATTTCTGTACAGAAGAAATTTGAAAAAACATCTCATCACCACACAGAAACCTGTAGCTAACAACACCAGTCAGTAATAACTCTGGTATCTTGTCTGCAACAATACAAAGTCACATTTCTACTGTCACCCCTAATCTTATGCTTTTACTTGAAATTTCAACTACATACTATCCTGTGTGATAGTATCCTCTGTGTGTTAGTGCTGATATGATCGCGTCTAACTACATATGCTTCATTCAGAGCCAAAATTCTCAGATCTCCTTTGCACATTGCTACACTCAAGTGATTCTACCAACATCTTAAGATGCAGAAACATTAAGAGCAAAAATCTTCGCGTGCATTTCTCGTTGCTGAAAATTATCGTGAAATCGCTTTATCTACAGAAACGATTAGCTGCATGCATCTCCATGTTTGAGAAATCCAAGAATGGATTTCTGTCTGTAAAATTTGTATCTAACTGAGCTGTCCCTGAAGTTCTAGGGTGATTATAAGCCGAAGGACTGCAAAACCATCGCGAGGACTCGAAATCTTGTTGTTGAGAGAAGTTAGACTTAGTAGTCTCAAATCCTTGTGCCATCTCCCAAAACATGCCCTGTAGCTCCTCCATACTGTAATTTTTCTCCTGTTTTCAAGAATTTGCAATGGAAAAGAAACATCAATTACTAAAGAGAATAAAGTGGAAGCCGGTGGAATAGAATAATTAGTCGAAAAATATCTATAGTATGAAAATTTCTCACACTATCACTGTAATTTAACCTGTTATAACAGGTCGCACACTTCATATTTCAGTTTACTGATTGTCATATATATAGTTATCTTTTAAATGACATGTTAAATCATCAGCCAAGTGCAATGCAATTCATTTTAATTATGCACAAGCAACATCAGAGAAAACAACACAGTTACTCATTTTAAGTACGATCATCATCCAAAGGGCAGCCCAATGCACTATACATCCCGCGTCTAGCACAGGATTTGGGAAAGAGCCGCACCCCAAAAAGCGTGATGTAAACAGCCTAACTTAATACAAGCATCGAACCCGTATCCTATAGATCACGGAGACAACACGAAGACAACTGTACCATTGCTCCGAGGCTCCCCTCCACGACATATATGATCATCATCCAAGACAAACGAAATTCATAGTATCTTAAGTTCTTAACTACATATGCTTCAATGAGGACAGCTTTAAGTTACCAATTGAACAGAGAAACCATACATTTACTATCACAATAAAATCATAAGCAGATGAAGACAATACCTCTTTCCTTGCATTATCCATTAGAGATACCATTTCTTGTAGAAAATCAGCAAATCCCTACAAAAAAAATAACAGAAATATATCAGATGAGCTTCTCTTTTTCTGCATAATCTAAAATCAAGAAACAGAACAAAATATAGCATACCTCATCCTCGTCTTCCTCAGGGTCATACAATCCTGCATCATACATCATTCTCTTCTTCTGATCCGACAACACTATTCCCAAATAAAAAAAATAAAATAAAAAAAATTAGAATTGGCAATAAATTATTTTTTTAAAAGACATACCCATTTCCATTCCGAGAAATGGATTGACGATATAAAAAATATTTATACAATCAAATCAAGTCATTTATAAGTTAATGACAGTTAAATCTTTATGATAAAGGTTACAAATTTAATAACCTAATAACAATGGTAATTAACCGGCAAATTACACTGATACTAAAAAAAATTATACAGTGTATATAACTTAAATCCATTGAACGATATAAACTTTACCTGAATAGGCTTCTTGGATTTGCTGAAACTTCCTCTTAGCTTCACCTAATAATGATGGCGTCCTCGTCCATTTATCAGGATGCCATTGCTGCAATCAAAAATCACAATTTCAATTAGCAACAAAAACTCCTCTTATAACTACAATACAATAACCAAAAAAAAAGGGAAAAAAAAGAGAGAGAACTTTTTTTAATTACCATACCATAGCTAGCTTTCTATAAGCACGTTTAATTTCTTCATCAGAAGAGTTTACATTAACACCAAGAACACTATAATATGATGGCCACCTTTCTTTAAAAAACTCCATCTCCATCTCCAAATTCACTCAATTAACAACAATATAGGCCAAAAGGGTACACTCTATTTTTCATGCAAAAAAATCAAGTAAATCTCAAATCAAGAAACTTGTGACATGAATAGGGTGTTAAAGAAAATATTTATAAAGGTAAAATTTCAGAGTCGGCGATAAAGTGGGACCAATGGAACTTAATAAAAAAAAATCTGCAGCCACAGGGCGAAAATATCCATGTGATAAAGCTTCAAGAAGATTCGGGAAGGAAAATTCAGTTTTTATGATACACGTGTCTGATAATTTTGAGGAGATATTTTTGGTTTTGTCCGAGTCATGGGTCGAGATATTTTGTTTGGAAAATTCTGGTGACCTCTAACGGGTTTGTAAAAGAATTTTTGGTACTAAGATTGGATTGTGATAGTTTTTGGTACGACAAGATATTTTGGGATGACGTGTACATATTAGTTGGATTGTTGGCCCCACAACTTCATCTTGTCTATGCCACGTTTATAGATACCGCTAGCCTCTTTAGCTAAACTTTTGTGAAGCTAAAAGTAAAAGTGTGTGTGTATATATATTTGAGGGATTTTGATAAATTACTGTACTTTAGAGCTTAATAATTATAATTTAATTATTATTTGTACCTATTTTAGTTTGTATTACTTGTATTAAACGCGCAATAAAAACTTCTGTCTTAAGGAAATTATATTTATTATATTCTGTATTCTGTCTGAATTTTACTATTCTGATTTGAAGATATAAAAACTTCATCAGGGTATTGAAATTCAGAAAACGATTTGAAGAACATAAAAACTTCATCGTTTTTCTGTAAAACAGTATATAAAAACCTTAGTTGTTTTTATTACGTACTGTTTATTGATTACATTATTATTTACTATTTTGGTTTTGCCATTAATTGATTTCTTCTGTTGTTGACAGTAAGAAATGGCAAATGGAAATGGAAATCCTTCTGCGACTGTTGGTGCAACAACGATAGCCTCGTCAAGCCGCATTGCTGTTCCTCCGGCTGAGAAACCGGGGAAATTTTCTGGAACCAACTTCAAAGGATGGCAGCAAAGGGTGTTCTTCTGGCTTACTACACTTGGTATGCAGAAATTTACTAGTGAAGAGCCTTCAGTGCCTGCTGCGGACATGCCGGATAATGAAAAGTTCATGGTTGTTGAGGCATGGAAGCAGGCAGATTTTCTTTGCAAAGGCTATATCTTAAGTGCTTTAGAAGATGACTTGTATAATGTGTACAGTGCAATAAATACTTCGAAAGAATTATGGGATGCACTTGAGAAGAAGTACAAGACAGAAGATGCATGCTTGAAGAAGTTCGTGGTTGCCAAGTTTCTAGACTATAAAATGATAGACAGCAAAACTGTGGGAACCCAAGTTCAGGAGCTTCAACTTATTTTTCACGACCTTATAGCTGAAGGTATGGTCGTGAATGAAGCATTTCAAGTAGCTGCTACGATTGAAAAATTGCCTCCTTCGTGGAGAGATTTCAAGAACTATCTGAAGCACAAACGCAAAGAAATGAAGTTGGAAGATCTTGTGATACGTTTACAGATCGAGGAAGACAACAAAACAGCCGAGAAGAAGTCTCGTGGAAATTCAACGATCATGGGAGCTAATATCGTTGAAGAGACTGCTCCAAAAAGTAAGAAGAGGAAGAGGTCTTCTGGACAAACTAAGGAGCAGAACAAAAAGAAATTCAAGGGCAGCTGCTACAATTGTGGAAAAGTCGGTCACAAAAGCCCAGATTGTCGTCTTCCGAAAAAGGATAAGAAGAAGGGACAAGCCAACATAGTGGAGAAGAATAATGAGATTGATGATCTTTGCGCAATACTTTCGGAATACAATTTAGTTGGAAATCCGAAGGAGTAGTGGATTGACTCTGGAGCCACTCGACATGTTTGTGCTGTCAAAAAAGCATTTGCGACTTACTCTACTGCTGGTCCGGAAGAAGAAATTTCCATGGGAAATAATGCAACAGCCAAGATTGAAGGTTATGGGAAGATATTCCTGAAGATGACTTCCGGCAAGGTGTTAACGCTCAACAACGTTCTTCATGTTCCTACTATTAGGAAGAATTTAGTTTCTACTTCTTTACTTGTAAAGAATGGATTCAAATGTGTATTTGTTTCTGATAAAGTTGTTGTAAGCAAGAACGAAATGTATGTTGGAAAAGGCTACCTCACGGAGGGCCTTTTCAAACTCAATGTAATGGTTGTTGACAGTATGAATAAAATTTCAGCTTCTTCTTATTTATTGGAGTCAAATGATTTATGGCATATTCGTTTAGGACATGTCAATTATAAAACCTTGCGGAAATTAATTAATTTAGAAGTATTGCCTAAATTCGAGTGTAATAAATCGAAATGTCAAATATGTGTTGAATCTAAGTTTGTAAAACATCCTTATAAGTCTGTTGAAAGGAATTCAAATCCTTTAGACTTAATTCATACTGACATTTGCGATATGAAGTCGACACCATCTCGAGGTGGGAAAAAGTATTTTATTACTTTTATTGACGATTGCACTAGATATTGTTATGTTTATTTGCTTAATAGTAAGGATGAAGCAATTGAAGCATTTAAGCAATAAAAGAATGAAGTAGAAAATCAATTGAATAAAAAGATCAAAATAATTAGAAGTGATTGAGGTGGAGAATATGAATCTCCGTTTGCAGAAATATGTTCAAAATATGGAATTATCCATCAAACTACTGCACCTTACCACCTCAATCCAACGGAATTGCGGAAAGGAAAAATCGGACATTAAAAGAAATGATGAATTCTTTATTAATAAGTTCCGGATTACCGCAGAGTTTGTGGGGGGAAGCTATCCTTACAGCTAACCGAATACTCAACAGAGTACCCCACAACAAAACGCAATCTATTCCATATGAAAAATGGAAAGGAAGAAAACCCAACTTGAAATATTTCAAAGTGTGGGGGTGTCTAGCAAAGGTACAGGTTCCTTTACCTAAAAGGGTTAAAATTGGACCAAAAATAGTAGATTGCGTTTTCATTGGATATGCTACAAATAGTAAAGCATGTTGATTTTTGGTTCATAAATCTCATAATCCCGAGATTCATGTTAATACGGTAATGGAATCAGATAATGTTGAATTCTTTGAAAGCATCTATCCGTATAAAACTGAAAGCGAGTCGGTAAGTAAAAAACCTAAACGACCTCGGGAAGAACCAAAGGAAAATACTCCAAGTATAGAAGATCCAAGGCGTAGCAAACGTCAAAGAACATCTACGTCCTTTGGACCAGATTTAGTGACATTCTTGCTTGAAAATGAGCCTCAAACTTTTAAAGCAGCTATGTCGTCTTCTGATTCAGCATTTTGGAAAGAGGCAGTCAATAGTGAGATTCAATCAATGTTGGATAATCATACATGGAAATTGGTTAATTGTCCTCCAGGAAATAAGCCTTTAGGTTCGAAATGGATCTTTAAATGGAAAAATAAAGCTGATGGCACTATTGACAAATATAAGGCAAGACTTGTTGTCAAAGGTTATAGACAAAAGGAAGGCCTTGATTACTTTGACACTTACTCGCCAGTAATGAGGATAACATCTATTAGGGTGTTAGTGGCACTAGCGGCCGTGTATGGGTCTTGAAATCCATCAAATGGATGTTAAAACAGCTTTCCTAAATGGAGAATTGGAGGAAGAAATTTACATGGAACAACCTGAGGGTTTTGTGATTCCTGGTAAAGAAAAGAAAGTGTGCAAACTTGTTAAGTCGCTTTATGGACTTAAACAAGCACCCAAACAATGGCATGCAAAATTTGACCAAACAATGTTAGCAAATGTATTTAAAATCAACGAGTGTGATAAATGTGTTTACATTAAAAATACTCCAGGTCATGAAGTCATTGTTTGTTTATATGTTGATGACATGTTGATAATAAGCAAAAGTATGGCAGATATAAATGCTACAAAGCGCATGTTGTCTAGCAAATTCGACATGAAAGACTTAGGAGTTGCTGATGTGATCTTAGGAATCAGAATTCGCAAGACTTCACAAGGTCTAGCATTATCACAGTCTCACTACATTGAAAAGGTACTTGACAAGTTCAACTATTTGGATTTCAAAATTGCCAAGACTCTAATTGACGTGAGTTATGCACTTCAAAAGAATGAAGGTGAAAGTGACTCACAACTGGACTATGCAAGAGTATTGGGAAGTTTGATGTATATCATGAATTGTACGCGACCAGATATAGCATGTGCTATTAGCAAACTGAGTCGGTTTACAAGTAATCCCAATCAAATACATTGGATGGCAATGAAACGAGTTTTGGGATATCTGAAACATACCCAAAATTATGCTTTGCATTATAACAAATATCCTTCCGTGATCGAGGGATATAGTGATGCAAATTGGATCACCGGATCATCTGAAGTTAAATCCACGAGTGGATATGCTTTCACAATTGGGGGTGGAGCAGTATCTTGGAAATCATCCAAACAAACGTGCATCGCCCGTTCTACAAGGGAATTTGAATTCATAGCTTTAGATAAGGCCGGTGAGGAAGCTGAATGGATCCGGAATTTCTTGGAAGATATTCCATTTTTGCCCAAACCTTTGGCACCTATATGTGTACATTGTGATAGTCAAACGGCAATAGGTAGGGCAGGGAGCGTTATGTGTAACCGAAAATCTCGTCATATCCGACGGAGACACAATACCGTTAGACAACTACTCTCTAATGGTGTTATCACAATTGACTACGTAAAGTCAAGAGATAACGTGTCGGATCCACTTACAAAAGGCCTATCTAGAGAGGCAGTTGAAAGATCATCAAAGGGAATGGGGTTAAAGGCCTAGGACAAGTCATCATGGCGGTAACTCTACCTAGCAGACTGGAGATCCCAAGAGCTAGGTTCAAAGAGATCAAACAAAGTTATGAATGACGGTTCAACATTGTCAACTAACTCAACCCATTCTCGTGATGAAGACAATGTTCAAAAACGAGGTAAAGCATTAAGGCTTTTTTGATGAGTCAATAAAGCTTAAAGCTTTTTAATGATTTGCTAAGTCTGGCAGGATATGACCAGATAGTGTGTCTTTAGGATTACACGTTTAGGAATCACCTATGTGTGTGTGAAGTGTAAGCCGCTTCAAGGAGAATGAAAGTAAAGGCCCATTCTCTAAGCACTCATGAAACCAGGCGGTGTTCATGGCTGAAACGAACACAAACGTGAGAACCATAGATGGTTAAGGATTGATTGTGTGACTTATGTTGTCTAGGTATACAACAAAGCTCGACGGTTCAAAGATATCAAATTTACCGATTGACCGAGTATATCCGATATAAGTTCACTACGAAAAGTTTAAAGGGAAACCTACTTATCCAGATGCAATCAATTCTTGTTCGTAAAACACACACACGTCCGTGCATTCCTTTAAGTTTATAGCCATTCCCCATTCATGTGGGGGATTGTTGGGTTTGTTATTTAATAAATAATAATAAAAGTGGTGTGAATGAAAAATGGTGGGAAAATAAATGGAGGGATGACCCGCGACCCGGTCCGGTCTAGCCCGTTTTTCTTTCCCGGATTAATTTAAATTCGTTTTAAATTTTCCGCTGTGAGCACGTAATTTTTGCCCTAAGCAATAATTCCCAAAATTTCAAACAAAACAATTTTTTCTAGTATTTTATAATTTTTTGTGAATTTTGTGGCATTCTTTGGTAATTGTTGCATTTTTATTTGTGCATTTTAATCCATACGAAAATACCAAAAAATATGCATTGGCATTTAGGGATTTAATTTCACAATTTTAGTATTAATTAATTTTAGAATAAAATGTAAAGAAAATTGCAAGAAAATAGTTCTTTGCATTGCTAATTATTGCATTTGTCTTTAAATAGAGTTATAAGTAATTCTAGGAGTTAAATAGTGTAATTAGGTCTTTACTTTGTTTTAGCATTTTATAAAATCAGAAAAATAAATAAATACAAAAAAAATACAAAAAATAGATAAAGGAAAAAAGGGAAAAAGAATTAAAAAAGATGGTCTTAATTGGAGACCAAATTTGGGCCACAATCAGTCAGCCCAAACGAAATTCCCAACCCCAGGCCCAGTTTACCCCTGCCCGGTCCAATTGCCTCATGCTCAAAACGACGTCGTTTTGACGTCGTTTAATCACGACCATCCATCTCCCCAAATCCAATGGCCACGATTGACTCTCAGAATGAAATAAAACTGTCCGAATTACACAGAAAAAAATCAAAACACAACTCCTCTTCCTCGTACCAACCCGTCCCCTGTAACGCCGGTGCCGGCCACCCTCCTCCGCCCTAGCCCCACCGTCCCTCCGCCGTCCGCCGGCCGGCCGGAAATCGCCGCTGCCGGCGGCGATGCTCCGATCAACCCCAAAATCACACCCCAGATTCCTCTTCTCCTCCTTTACCTGAATCCACTGTCCTTTGCTTTCAAATCTTACTGGAACTCGTCGAATATCCGTTCAAAATTTTCCGGCCAAGTCGCCGGTTATGCCAAACGGTCCCAAATTAACACCATGGGACCGCCTTGACCTCCTTTACCCAACCCCCATGGCCACTTACCTCGAATATGGCCGGAACTGCTCAAATATCGAATCAAAAATCCGGCCAAAACCCTATCTCTTCCGAACCCTACCAAACTTACACCCCATACTCCCCTCCCTCTCCTTTACCTGAATCCCTAACCAGAATCTTTCGAATGTTACCAAAACTCCTCGAATTTTAGATCTTAGACTGGCAGAACCCTAACTCAGAAAATCTTGGGGATTTTGGACCGTAATTTCCCTAATCATGTGTGTTCTTTTGGAAAACACACGATTGGGGATGTTACGTGTCAAGAATCCCGGAGGATTCAAACAAATGGCCGGTCAGAGTTCCCCTTGGTCAGTCGAATACTCTAATTCAGTAAGTTTGCTGATTACTTCTATTCTTGATTCTTATTTTTTGGGGTTCCGTATTTGTTCTAAGTTTAGTTACGATTTGTTTGAGCTTTGTTTGGATTTCAATTCGTTCCTCAGCACCTGAACTGATTAGTAATCTCTTATGGTTGCTGTTAGTTAGCATTAATTAGTTTAGTTTAGTCTAATTAGTAATCGTATTAACAGTTCCATGTTTAGGGTTTAATTAAGTTTTATGATTTGATTGTGGAGGTACTGCTCTCAGTCTTTATGTTTGATTTAAATTTACTCCAGTAGGTCTAATTTTTGTTTAGTTTGATTAGTTGATTCATGAGTGGTCGCTGCAATTTGTAGTTCATGGTTAGGTTGGATTTCATGATTGGTTAATTGTGCAAAAATTCAATTTGGTGGGATCTTTTGGCTATAGCTGAACAAGATAGTGACCAGCAATTACAGTAAAAGGGGTTCTGGTCTGGCCAGTAATTTCAGGAGGTTCAAAGGGTAGTTTAGGCATGGGAAAAGGGTACTTTTATCANATAAAATCACCTTCCTAAACACGGGTGCACATTTATGTGACCCAAATCCAAATCTCAACAAAGTCGAAATGTGTTAACAATCACGGGTGCACTGGTGCGACGTGGTTTGAGGCGCATTTCCACGACGTTGCAATTCGTTTAAAAATCGAATAAATAAAAATAAAAGCGGTTTACTAATAAAAGCACATAAGCTAGAACATATTTCGAAATCAGATAAAATCAAATACAACAGTTGAGCGACCGTGCTAGAACCATGGAACCCGGGAATGCCTAACACCTTCTCCCGGGTTAACAGAATTCCTTACTCGGATTTCTGGTTCGCTGACTATTAACAGAGTCATAATTCCCTCGGTTCGGGATTCAACTGGTGACTTGGGGCACCCTTAATCTCCCAAGTGGCGACTCTGAAATCTTAATAATAAATCCCGTTCCGATTGTCCTTTAATTGGAAAAACTCCTTTACACCCTCACGCGGGTGTAGGAAAAAGGAGGTGTGACATCCGCAAAAATTTCTAACAGCCATGGCTGTTCTGAAACAGTGTCACACCTGTTCCAACAGCCATGACTATTCTGAAAAGTTGCAAACCTCTTCAGAGGGTCACACCTGTTCCAACAGCCATGACTGTTCTGAAAGGTTGCAAACCTCTTCAGAGGGTCACACCTGTTCCAACAGTCATGACTATTCTGAAAGGTTGCAAACCTCTTCAGAAACATCACCAAGTTGGCTATAAATAGACCTTCAAATCCCAGAATATTTACTTACGATTATCTTCTTCTTCTTCTGCACTAAAGTTCCAGTGTGTTTTGCTGCCATCGAGTGGTTCGCTGATCATCGGCGTTTTTGGTACCAACACTCCGGTGAGTTAAATCGTTCTATCCTGGGAGGATATATTCCATAACCTCGGGTACTTGAGGGGAATAATTTTCTTAAGGACACACTCTGTATTCAGTGGGCTCGATTTGTTCCTTCAACGTTTCAAAAATTATTTTGAAGTTCGAATATTATTTTTCAGAATTGTTTCTACTAACTTTTTGTTTTATTTTTCAGAAAGATTACTGTTTTATTTACTTACAGCAATACAGATAAATAACAGATTTAAGCATAACGGGAGTACCATTATCTTTAGTATGCCAATCACCACCGATAAAGTTCGGGTGCAACTCTTTGAAATGACTATGATAATTTATCATCAAAATAAAAACATCAATATTATCAAATATCATTAACTTGATACTAATATAACAAAAGTACATTGTCCGCTCATAGTTGAACTCGACGCGCTTTCATATTTTAAAAACGGTCAATGATAGCATCATTGCTTATATTTACATATACTTCCTTCTCAAAGTAACAAACTAAACAATCATTTAAAAATGCATCACTAATACTACTACGCAATTCATCTTTGATGTACTTCATGGATGAGAATGCTCTTTCTACCGTTGCGGTTGCGACAGGTAAAATTAAAGTCAACTTCACAAGCAAATAAACAAGTGAATAAGTCTCCACAAGATTTGCTTCAACCAATGCTTTTGCCAAATCACCAATTCCTTTCAAATCAGAGAACCTAGGGTCACCATGTTGCATGTGTCATATGAAAGTGTCAAGTCGGCGACTAAGAGGAAGCTTCAATTCATCGAACTCATCGGGATAATGCTTGGCCAATGTCATTATTCTTTCCTTATCAAAATTAGGAAATGAGTTATCCGGATTCAAGCTAGTCATACCAAGAAGCAAGTTACTACTCACAACATCAAAACGACTATTAAGCTCCAGAATGTTGCAAATCAACCACTGCATAAAAAAGCTCAACACACAAGTGATGTGAATAAGTAACACTAGAAGGCCTATGCTTCAAGTTTCTAGGAATATAGAATTCTTCCATCTTGGGCACTAAAATATCATGTTTTGCACAAAATGAAGATACTTCATCCATCAATGGTTCCCATCCTTCATCTCTCATATCTTGCAACCTTTCCTTTGTGATATCAAGAAATACCATGGCATTGACGATATCTTGCTTTTTCTTCTGTAAAGCTTTGCTCAACTCGTTTGACATTATCAACACTTTCAACATTAAGTAAAGTAAGAAAATAAATTCAAATGCTTTAATTTTACTCGAAAAAGCTTCTGCTTGCAACCTATCATTAACATCACCTTCACCTTCAATCACCCCAAGCACATGAACAATAGAAGAAAATAAAATAACAAAGTTATCCAATATTTTACAATGTGATCCCCAATGAGTGTCACCTACCTTTGAAGCCCTCGCTCTTGATATAATCCTTTCCCACTTTGAACTTCACCACTCTCTAGCAATTGCTCCAACAATTTTGTTTGATGTTCCCGAAGTTGATCTCTACGCTTAAAAGAAACTCCAATCACATTCAACACATTAGTAACAATAGCAAAGAAAGTCTCCACCTCCTTGTGTTTCTTAGCAACAGCTACAAGCGTCAACTGTAATTGATGAGCAAAACAATGAACGGAATATGCCGAGGGAGTTTCTTGCAAAATTAAAGCCTTAAGACCATTCATCTTTCCCTGCATATTACTTGCCCCATCATAGCCTTGTCCACGTATTTTGGATGGACTTAATGAGTGTTTTATTAGCAAAGAAAGTACTGTTTCTTTCAACGACTTTGCAGATGTATCACTAACACGAACAAGACCAATAAATGGCTCATTCAATTGGCCCTTTTTGTCAACATACAGCAAAGCAAGGGCCATTTGTTCATGGTGTGAAATATCCCAAAATAATCTCCATCCAGGTCATTAATTATACCTTTCACGGTCTCTTATGTACAAGCACTCACAATATCCTTTTGAATTTTTGGCGAAGTCATCATATTATTTTTTGGAGCATGTTTTAATATAACTCTATCTACATCTGGAAGCCTATTTCCAAGCCATTCCAAAAGCCCTAGAAAAAGGCCTTTGGTTTTTGAAGATTCACTTTCATCGTGACCTCGAAAAGACAATCCAAAGTCCAAGAGAAACCTTGCAACATCGATTGAGGCATTTAAACGAATTCGATATTCACTTTTTTGTTTCTCATATTGCTTTTCAAAAGCAGTTTGAATTGATTGAGATTGATTTGACAAGTAGAGCATTTTGTTGAAACACTTATGGTGGAGGTTATTTACTTCACCAACATGTAGAGCAAGTCTTTCGGGTCCTTTATTTCAAGCCTTAAAGCCGATTTTTCTGAAAGAGTCACCCGTGCTTCCATGGACGTAATCATTTTTGAATAAATAACAACACAAACAAAATGCGGCATCTTTCTTCACGTTATACTCTAACCATCTAGTATGCGAATCTTTAAACCAACCCGGACTAAATTGGCGCATTTTCTTCCCAAATAAAGTTTAAGGAAATTTGTGATCAACTGGTTGGCAAGGCCCTCTTTGGATGTAGTTTCTTCTCACTTCATCCCGTATTCTAGAGCTATATCTATCAATGGGTATTCTGTCTTCGGGGTCACGATTAAGTGATTTCACATCAAACTTCTCTACAAGATGGGAGGAATTGTCTCTAAAACGAGAACTTGGTTGAGAAGAATTAAACCTCGTAAAAAATATGTCCATTTCAATTCACATCAATAAAATTTCCTACAAAGCAACAATGCAATTTTTAATATGATTAATCACACTCCTTATATTAATACAAGAATAGAAATAATATATAATTCACACCCCTTATATCAAGAACAAAGCAAAGAGAATATTTTAATAGGGGAATCATGCCTCTTTCATCAAGAACAAAGCAAAAAAATATTTCCAATAGAGGAATCACATCCCTTCCATCAAGATTAAAGCAAAGAAAATATTTCTAATAAGGAAATCACACCCCTTCTATCACGAACAAAAGCAAATATAATATTTCTAATATGGGAATCACACCCCTTTCATCCAGATTAAAGCAAAGAAAATATTTCTAATAGGGGAATCACACCCCTTCTATCACGAACAAAAGCAAATATAATATTTCTAATAGGGAATCACACCACTATATTTTATTATAAGTCATAACTATATTATTATTATTATCTTAAAGAAAGAAGGAACACTTACCAATTTGTGAAAGGTATCCCTGAAATCCAAATACAGTTTGGTTTCAAATCATCCACTTCACTGAAACAATATTTCAAATAGCATTAGCACAAAATCTTTAAATACCTATGAAATTAATTTATTAAGATAAAAGAATAAGCACACCAATTAAAGATATAACATAATGTAAATGTGCACCATGATTGTTGTCTGCTCAAACAATGAATTCAAAAACTAAAAGAACAGTAGAGAATTCAAAACTAAAAGAAGTATCCTTGAAATCCGAATACAATTTGGTTTCTTGCAAGCATTATCTACTGTATTAAAGAACTCCAGAAAATTAAGCTAACAAAAAGAGGAATTTACATGAGCACTTTACTCATCAATTATTTGTTCAACTTAAGTGCTACTAATTGGATTAACATTTGATGGTGTTAGTAAAAAGGGATATTTTGAATGGGGAAGAACATAAATCTGTTCATAAGTCATAACCAATCTAGGTCAACTGCTAATATAGGTCAAAAACACAAAAATCAAAAAAGCAATATTTGTAAAAAGAAGAAAAACTTACTCAAATAATCAAAGATTTGAAGGAGAGTCTCCCTCACCTAATAGAACTGTGGGATTCGAAGTTCAAAGGGATGCGAAGAAGTGAAGAGCTGAAACGAAAGTTAAAGTTGAAGGGAGGCAGAGAACATAGATATATGATTATTACTAAGTTTCATGGTGATTTTCGTGGTAAAAATCTCATTCTTGTTAAACCCTAGGTTTTCCTCTAATTCATAATTTTCACCAACATTTACATGTTAATCTACCAGAAATCTAAGTATTTAACTCACATATAGAAGGGATTACTTACCTCCAAAAGCTTGGTGAAAACCCCCTCTCAAGAGCTCTAAAATCGCCCAACAATGAAGTAAAAATGAGTAAAAAATGTCTAACTCCCGTAATAAATGAAGGCCACTGCCTTAAGTGATTTCCGCACCTGGGCCCCCGGATCTGTGGACAATGGTCCGCTTCTGCGGAACTCCACTGGGCCGGCTGGAGCAGCTTCTGCGGATGGCCCACCGCTTCTGCGGAGAAAGGGTCACATCTGCGGTTTTTGGGCTGCCCACCCTTGGCCGCATCTGTGAGTCAAGTTCCGCACCTGCGAGATCACATCTGCGGCTGACAACCGCAGGTGCGGTCATGATAGAAGCTGGGCATTCAGTTTTGCTTAATTTTTCCAACTTAGTCCGAGCCTCGTTCGATTGACGCTCGGGGCCCCACCCACAAGTTTAAAATGATAAAACGGACTCGCTCGAGCCCTCGGAACGCCCAAAACAACATTAAAACTAGGAATCACACCCTAAAACCAATTGATTCAAACATATGAACTTCAAGTTCTTCAATTTACCTCCAATGTGCCGAAACCTACTTATACTACTCGGATTGACACCGAATTTTGTGCAAGTCTTAAATGACATTACAGAACTATCCCCGGTCTCAGAATCCCGTTCGGACCTCGATTTAATCAAAACCCGCTCTAAACCAAATTTAAAGAACTTCTAAAAACCTTCAAGAACCAACTTTCACTATTATGCGCTAAAACGCTCCCGGGTCATCCAAAACCCAATCCGAACATACGTCCAAGTCCGAAATCATCATACGAACCTATTGAAACCGTCAAATCCCGATTCCGAGGTCGTTTACTTAAAATGTTGACCGAAGTCAAACTTGGCCTTTTAAGCCAACCTTAAGGAACCAAGTGTTCCGATTTCAACCCAAATTCTTCCAAATCCCGAACCAACCATCCCCGCAAGTCATAAATCAGTAAAGCAAGTACGAGAAGTCTTATTTAGGGGAACGAGGTTCTAGAAAGCAAAACGACCAGTCGGGTCGTTACAGAACATATCGAATAAATCAAAATCAAAGATAAACTAGCAATCATAATTAATAGGTATGATGGAATAAGATGTATTTGATTCCTTTACCCTAAAATGAAATATTTCGGATTCGAGTACTAAATATGTTTATTTTGAACTTGATTTTTTTAAGATGTGTCTTCTTGATATAAATTAAGTGGTTTGGTACGCTCTAATTTTAAAAAAGAAAAAAGCAACTTTCTTTTCAATTTGCATTATCTTCTGTTAATCTTATCAGGAAATTGTGAATCGAGCAAAACAATACTAGCATGTTTGGATCCTATTCATCCACTTTCGTTATGGTAATGTTATTTCCAGTGTTAGTTATTCAATTTCTTGGTAGAATTGTTCCACTTCACGAAGAGGCAAACACAAGTGACACATTAACATTTGTCCCGTAAAGTTCTCCTCTAAACACAACTCTCAAATCCATATGACTACATTGTGGATGATACTGAATGAGAATGAAGGATTCTATATTTATAGAAGCACAAACATTCTCCTATAAGAAAATGGAGTAGTCAAATATGAGAGATTTATAATTTTCTTCTAAGAATAGGAAAACTCAATTATGGTAAACATGTTGCCTTTTCCTTCAAGAGATAGGAAAATCAAATATGGTAAGAAAATCAGGACTACACCTAACAATTCTCCCCCTTGGCCTTAATTTTCTAACAAAATAAATTTGATCCATCTTCTTTACATAGCCTTCAACAAGTTACATCTCCAAATCTCCACCACAAAATTTGTCTCAACGTGTATAGCACTCTGGTCAAATTTCTCAGACAAAAATCATGACTATCGTCAGATAGGTTGCGAGTAGAACTGAACCCGCCAAGATGAACCTGTCTTGAACCTCGCTTTAATACCATTTGTTAGGACTGAAAAAAATCAGGTTTCTTGCGGAAGCTAACAAAGCAAACCTTGAACGAAGATAAATCACAAACAAAAAAGAAATCTACCAAAAGAGACGCAAACATTTAACGTGGTTCGGTCAAGTGGGTATGTCCACGGCGGAGATGAGCAATCCACTATATAAAAGAGAGTACAAAATATCGAGAGAATAACCTTACGAAGAGGCAAACATAAGTGACACACTAACAGTTCTCCCCTAAACAAGACTCTCAAACCCCACATGGCTACATCGTGGATGCTACTGAATGAGAAGGAAGGATCCTATATTTATAGAAACTAGCCAAATATGAAAGATTTATAGTTTCCTTCTACAAGAAGGAAAACCTAATTATGGTAAATATGTTGCTCTTTCCTTCAATAGATAGGAAAACCAAATACGGTAAAAAAATCAGGACAACACCTAACATGATGTATATCCAATTCCATTTTTAATAGACTTGAATATAAGCTACTCTCTCAGGTCAAAAAAGATCGAGAATTTGATTGAGTTTGTTTAAGCACTTCAAGTCTGCTATTTAGCATCATTTCAGTGCCAAAAAAAATAAATATATATATATGTTCTATAAAACTAATTCGCTACAAAGTTAGGATAACCTTGCATTCTTGCATTATTTTTTTTAAAAACTTGCTTATTTAGAGTCAAACAAAAAAAGGAAGGAAAAAAAACTAAAAGAGAACAAATTAGGTAAAAACATTAATAATGATAATTTCATTCTAAAACAAGACCCTAGTTATCTACTTGTGGGAGAGCAGTTGATATTGAAAGTCCTAGATAAGGCTGGCCTAAGGACACCAAAGTAATTGCCATAACGTTCAAACACTGAATGCCCAAATGGACCATGTAGTTTTTTGACTTCAA